ATGTGCTACAACTCACCTCACATTAGATCTCAATCATTTATACCTTGCCACACCGGCAATCGGTACTAAACAAGAAGTGGCAGTGGGCACCGATCAAATAGTTTTAGTGGCACATACGGGCGATGACATCATTCCTACACCCTATAATAAGCTTTGCCTACCTCAAATTTGGCATGTTCTACCTCTCCCTTGCAATCTATTATATGTCCATAAATTGTTTCATGACAACAAGGTCGCTATTCTTTTTGACCTGACTGGTTCTACCATCTTTGATCACAAGATGAGGCTACCTTTATTTCGGGGAACTAGTTCTTACGACTTATATTTGATCACCTCCACTGCAACTCCAACTCATGCTCTCGTCACCTCCACAACAAAGTCCTCCCTTTGGCTCAAATGTCTTGGGCATCCTCATTCAGATGTTCTTAAGCTCGTTTCGAAGCATCAACCAAACTTACACATAGAAATACATATGCTTATTTGTAACAGTTGCAGTTGCAAAAAAAGTCATAGACAACCTTTTTTGTTTCCTACTTTTCATACATATGCTCATTTTCATTTATTACATTCTAATGTATGAGGTATTGCCCCAATCTCATCTTCTCAAGGCTATAAATATTATTTCTTTTTATCGATAACTTTTCTTGCTTTGTTGGGTGTTTCCCATAATAAGCAGGGTTGAAACTGCTCACATATGTAGTCAATTCATTATAATGCTCCACCATCAATTTGAAACCACTACTTGTATACTCCGTTTTTATGGTATTGAAGAATACAAAAGTACTATACTCCAAAACTCCCTGCAAAACAATTGAATTCTTCATCAATTCTCGTGCCCCCATACCCCTAAACAAAATGTGGTTGTTGAACGTAAGCATAAACATCTAATTGAAGATCGGTTAAACTCTTCCCGCTCCTACAGCCGCCGCCCACCTTTGGCCACCACTTGCCGTTCGCCATCGGCCGTCGTCAGTCGCCCCTTGCTCGTTGCAATGAAGCCTCTTACGAAATTGCGATGTGTGTTGCTGAGTAAAGAGCAACCCTTTAGGTAATGAAGCATTCTATGGAGCAACACACTTCGAAGATGATATAACCATGCACCCGAATATAGTGTAATAATTCCCCAAAGATGGTGCAACACACACTCTGTATACAGTGAGTGTTTGTTTTTGTACTCACAAATACGTAGTGAATTATTTAAATTGGGTTAGACCTTATGGATTTTTTTTTTCAATATTTTCCAAGTAAAAATTTCAGATATCTCTACATCTTACTTTAATTATCTTAGAGTGTGCTGAATTTTTTTGGAGCACTAAAACACTAAATAATCACTACATCACCATGAATCTTCCGATACACATCAATAATATTGTTTCATATGTATATAAAAATTTTTATAACTAAAAAACATGGAGTAAGTTAAATTATGTATTTATTGATAACTTATCATTGTGATTAATCATATATATGAATGATTATTTGTATAACACAAAAATAAGTCCTGCCAAGCAGAAGGATCCATCGCCGAAGAAGAACCAGGAGACGCACAACCGTCGAGCCAGCCACCTGCTTGCCACCCTCAATCGGTCGGCCAACATGAGTCGTCCACCTTATGTCGGTCGTCCACCTCCTGTCGGCCGACCTCTTGCCGAGTGAGGGTGGCCGGAGGTGGGTGGGTGGCTGGCAGGAGGTGGTCGACCGATTGAGGGTGGCGGACCGACAGAACATGGTCGATTCATGTTGGCCACCTAAGTGGAGGTGATCGGCCGGGTGGGCGGCTCGACAGTTGCACGTCTCCTGGTTCATCTATGGCGACGGTTCCTTCTTCTTGACGAGGAGTATTTTTGGGCTATATATGAAACTCCCAAGTTTTTTGCTTCTTGGAGTCGAAGCAGCAATAAGAGTGGAAAACTCATTAGTGCCAAAAACATCATTTTCTTAAGCTTCTACTTGGACTTAAACTTGTAACAGTCCTCTTGCTAGCCTTTTAGTGAATTTTTTTTTTGAGAAAAATCATTAGTTGAGGTTCAGATCTCTGGAGAATATAATCAAGGTTGCTTTTTCGATTTTTTTAATAGAAAAATTCTAACAATTTGTGGTTGCTATTTACCAATTTTTCTTGCCTTTGTAAAAACATCACATCCCGCGGGCCTCGCGTTATGCTAAGTCTTAAGCGGTATTGTCGCTGCCTTCACGGGAGTAACTGTTGAGGTGATTTGCGACATACCCCCTTACAGATTTTGTCGCTTCGGTGCAAGGAGCCACCTCCATCGATTCTTCCGACTTGAGCTTTGGGAGAGGGTTTTTGGAGCTTTTTTGAGAGGGAGAGGAGGCCTTGTTTGCTCATCTCGGAGGAGAGACTCAAGTCAAGGTTGGGACTTTGAATGTTTGTCCCGGAGGAGAGACTTAGAGAGTGATTTTTATTTTTATTTGGAATGCTCTCCCGGAGGAGAGGTTTAAAGAGAATATACATGTTCAACACGGGAAAAAGTATTTTGTTGTTCATTTAGAACACTCTCTTGAAAAAAAGGAAGAGCGAGAAAAAGTATTTTGGTTATGAAGAGAGAGAGAGATTATTATATTTTATTTCTTCCTCCCTTTTAATATTTTTGTTTTCTTCTTTAATGAAAAACAAACAAGGTAAGAGAGTGTGCTTATCTTTCTCTTGTTCTCATGTAGGTGTCCTTCTAGCTTTTGGGGTATGAGAGGGGTCCTTTCCCTTTTTTAAACTTTATAATTCTTTTTTTTGTTTTTTCATTTTTTTGTCTTTTAGGATGCATTTGGGGCAGCTTGTGCTTATTCAGATAAACAGCTTATCTCATATTTAGTGTAAAAATCAAATCGCGTTTTCAGATAAGCTGCCCCAAACGGGCACTTAATCTCTTTACTTTATGTTTTGTTATTTTTTTACTTTTTATTTTTTTGTTTTGTTTGTCATTTTTCCTTTGACTTGTCACAATACTTTATGTATTGTCACTTCATGTCTCTATCTTCTTCTTCCCTTCTCTTTTTTTTCTTTCCATCTTCTTCTTCTTTCTCTTTTTTTTTTCTTATTTCTTGTTTCTCAGACAATTGATTTTCTCCAACTGGGAAAGCTTTTCGTCTTGCTAGAGACAATCCACGCTCGTCACACCTTTAAGATGTTGAATTCAAATCATTTAGATCGTGCCTAAGAGTTAGAACCAAATTCCGAGAGGTGGAAAAAGTGAGAGAGAAAGAAAGAGAAGGTTGCCCCTTCAAGCGTAAATATGGGTGGTCATCAGGTCCGGTGGTCCCTTCTATTTCACTCAGACTATATTATAATGTGAGGGTGAAGGGGAGCAAGCTCCATACCTAAGGGGAGAGAGAGAGTTTGAAGAGACATCTTCTACATCCAAAGATTCCTTTATTGAGAAAAAGAGAGGTGAAAAGAATATTACATTTAAACCCTTGCCATTTAGGACAGTTGAGACTGGGTATACAAGTTTTTTTGTTTATTTGAATCGGTCCTCCTAGAGTTTACTACTAATGTACTTCTCGGCGTTGAGCGGTGGGTTTAAATTTCAAATTAATCAAAAGATATATTAAAACTGCACTAACCCATAATAAAGCTTTAATAACGGAATAGATGATTAAAAGCCCAAATAATAATCACAACGAAATAAGGGCGACCGGCCCCAAGTAGCAGCCCAATCGAAGGCCCAATATTTAAACAACGGTTTAATTAAGCAGCGAACTAGATAACTCTTAACATATTAGGAAGATTGCCAGACAAGTTCTATGAATTTATGTATCTAAACCTAAACTTTAATATTTACATTAATACCACTTTATATATGCATGAAAATGTATATTGCACGTGTGGATTAATCTCATGACGGGCAACTCTTATTTTGTGACAGTGCCATGATACACCATTAAAAAAAACTTTAGAATTATTTCATCTATTTAAAGAAAATATAAATTGAAAGTAGTAAAATAAACAATATATACAATATTAGGAAAAATATTTTGAAGTATTTTAAGTAGTATTAATAAAGTAAAAAATTTTGTAGCTTGTGGTACGGCCGACCAAATACATGAAAATTTAAATATCTTGCATTTAATTTATTTTACACTTCAAATATTTCGTAATAAACATTTAAACTGCTTCATATGTGATGTATGTCGAAAGATTCACTTTGATAAATTGATTATTTAGCATTTTAGTGTTACTTCGTTATGAGCGCCAAGTTTCCACATTGTATGTTGGATTTCACAAGGTGTTTTGTTTCAATGAGCATGGTCCGACCGACAGCAGACGACGACCGACAAGTGGTGGTCGATGATTGTAAGAGTGCGAATGTATTTGTGAGGTTTTTCTGTTAAGATCGAAATTGAAATTCAATTCCTTCTTTGCTAATTAACTCTAGATTCAGTTCTTTTTCAATTCAATTCATAGACCTGTTTTTCACTAAAGAGATATGACTCTATTTATAGAATTTGAGAGTGGTCTCTTTGCGAATAAAAAATGAATCTAAACAAAATTCTTATAATCAGATGACATTATATGAATCTAAACACTCTGCTATGAAAATATCATTGTTAGATCCATATTACTTTCAGTCATCTGAATATAATATTTTTTTCATTACAGGATCATATTTTTACATATGAGATGATGATTTGAGGATTGAACATTTTCTCCCTTAACAATAGTTCAATCTTACTTACCTTTAAAAAATAATAATAATAAAAAAAAACAGAAAAAAAAAAAGAGAAGAACTTAGCATCTAGTAAATCCAGAGTCAAGTCAACGGTTCCTCTTAGCAAGTTTGCTGGCATCTCGACCGTCATTTAGCTACTGCATTCTTTAATTTCAGCTCATCGTCATCGAACAGCGAACAGCTTTTCTCCCCAACAAAAAGGAACCTCCGCAGGCCACACAAGCCATACTATTGCGACACGTTTTCATATTAACTTATTCCCTGTCTACCGGTCGAGTGGAACCGCGTGAGCCCGACACGTAGTGCACATAAATATGGTGTTGCAATTCCTTATCAGCGGTACCAAGCTATCCGTGCGCCACGTGCACATTTGAACCGCCCTGATCTTTCAAAACCGGCCCCACTGATGTGTTCTCGGCCCTTTCCCCCTTAAATCTCTGTTCCCCCTCCATCATCAACGAGCCGACAAGTTGCATCCATCAACCATCATCCCCTTCTTCATTGATCGAAACCCTCGAATTTCTGATAGAAAATCTCAGCAAGAAGAAATAATTAACCGACCGCTCTTGATCGGATTGATCGATTACAGTTTGGGATGGGGGAGGAAGCCGGAGCAAGTGGCGAGGGTAGGGTTTTGGATTGGGAGGACGGGCTCCCAACTGGAGATCATCTTACTCCTCTCTCAACTCACCTGGTTCCGTCGGAACTCGCATCCGCCTTCAGTATTCCCCCTGCTGACCCCAAAACCATGCTCGACGTCGATAGAGCTAGTCAGCACACCATCTCCTGTCTCACAGCCCGCCGTAAAGCCGCATCCTCTTCTCTTCTCGATGGATTGCCGAAGCCCTTTGCATCTGGTGCACCCGATGGCGAAAACTGCTTCATAGTTGTCGAGGCTGAAGACTCGGATGAGTTTCCTCTTTCGGAGAGATTAGGAAGGCTGCCCCAAATTGGAGGTGAGGAGGATGCTGATTCCCCTGCCCTTCATGGTGAAAACTCGTGGGACGACCAGCGGGTGCTTAAACGGCCGCGATTGGTGTGGACGCCGCAGCTTCACAAGAGGTTCGTGGAGGTGGTAGCTCACCTGGGCATCAAGAACGCGGTGCCCAAAACCATTATGCAGTTGATGAACGTGGATGGGTTAACTCGGGAGAACGTTGCGAGCCACCTCCAGAAGTACAGGCTCTACGTCAAGCGGACAAGTGGGTATTCCAATGAGGGCCTTTCATCTTCTGATCATACTTCTGCATCTACTACGGTTAATCAAAATTTCCACGAGCAGCAGCCGCCAGAACCTTCGTCGACGCCGCCGCTGCCACCGCCAACGCCGCCGAAGACTAATTCGATGGCGATGCCGTACACCGTCCCGGCAATGATCCCGATGCCGATCTACGCCTTTCCACTTCATCATTCGCATGGAGTAGTTCCATTAAATAATCATCAGGGAGGCACGCCTTACCATGGATTTGATACTTCTAATCGTTATTCGGCGAATAATTAGTCAGGTAATTTCAGTTTTGGTTTCATTGTTTCTTACCCGCATGCTTTGTAATACTATAAGTACATGCAGCAAAGAAAGTATATAAAAGTAAAAGGGGAAACAAATACAAAGAGAAGAGAGATGGTTTTTGCGTCATTGCGATTCTTCTGGAGCAATGATGAATTCAAATGCTATTATCGAAAAGTCTTGCTTTGTTCCATGTGATTAAATTTTGGTGTTTCGATTATGAATGCCATGAAACATTTATTCACAGTATTTGCAGGTGGATTTTCATGTCTTTTGGTAACTGAGTAATGATATTAACCTGATTGAGTCAATGCAGACATTTATATATTCATGTAATGACGTTTATGATCTCCAAAAATGTCAACAGCTTATGTTGTTGGACTGGTTTTGGGGTTTGTCCGACCTAATGAAATGCAATTAATAGGAAAATTTATAGGTAGTCCTAAAAGCTACTTATAGTACGTTTTCCCTTGAGATACTGACCTAATGCAACACATTGTAGAAACTGATTGTTTTCTCAACAGCTTATGTTATTAGTTCTTTTAATTGCCCCTACTTCAAAAAGTTTTAGATTTTCTTTTTTGACGTGGTGGAAATTGATTCGATTCAAGCATATTGGAGAAACTGATTGTTTTCTTTCATTCATATCAATAGTATTTATACATTAAGAGTCCTTAAAAACATTGTTGAAATTAATAATGATTATGCCCTGTAATTTTCAGGGATTGTATTGTTCGGGCGCCTCTGAACACAATAATTAAGTGTATTTGAAATTGCCTCTTCATCAAAATGCTTACTTAAGTTCTAATCATGAATGTTATACTTTATTTAAAGTTGATGCAAGAGACCATACAAAAGAAGATATAGGAAGACAGGAAGAACCAGAATACAACTTAATTCATGTATCAGATCAATTGAAGAACATTACATATGCCTCTTTTATATATATAAGTAGAAGACAGGACAATGAGGCAATATTACCTGCTATGGTTGGTTAGTGTTGAGAAATTAGGGCGAAGAAAAACAAGAATCGACACAAATTCAGAAGAACACACAAAGATTTAACGAGGTTCGGCAAAGATGTCTACGTCTTCGGGAGCAGAGCGGCGAATTCCTTTTAATATTCAGAAAAGAGATTACATAAATAAGGGATACCTCATGGGGTTACTAACATGTCTGTTTATAACTCCAGGGGTAAACCCTAAGTACAATATGTAATTACAACATTACCCCTGTACCGTACTGCGGGGCGTTGCCCACACCCCTAACTCATATAACGTAACTTCCCGATTTGGACAGATTATTTTGCTCCGCTCCGTTCTAGCGTCTGTCCCTATATGGTATATGAGTCATACCATAACAAATCTCCACCTTGGCGAATATCCAACCCCTTAGGAAAAAAGATACCTGAGAGTTACACCCGCACCACTGTGGGTTGGGCCATCATGCTTTTCTAGCAATTGCACACATTCAACAGGTCCAAACAATGCAAGAACTTATTGATAATAACTGGTTTGGTCAACATATCAGCTGTATTTTTTTCAGTATGAACTTTCTGCAATAATATCTCACCAGAAGCAATCAATTCTCTGATCTTGTGATACCTGACATCAATGTGCTTGGTTCTCGTATGGTACACCTGGTTCTTAGCCAGATAAATAACACTTTGACTATCACATTGCAACTGAACTCCACCTTGCTTAATGCCCATTTCCTTTTACTAGCCCAACAAGTCATAAGACTTTTTTTGCAGCTTTAGTTACTGTCATGTACTCAACTTCAGTTTTAGATAATATCACAATAGACTGAATTGTTGATTTCCAACATATAGACCCTCCACCAAGATTAAACACATACCCAGTTGTAGACCTTCTGCCATCCAAATCACCAGCATAGATATAATCGACGTACCACACAACTGAAGGATCATCTTGCTGATTGCCAAAACAATTCCATGTCCTACAGTGCCCTTCAGATACCTGAAAATCCACTTGACTGCTTCCTATTGTCGCCTTTCAGGTTTTAAACATGTATTTGCAGACTTGACTAATAGCATGAGCCAATTCAGAACGAGTACATATCATTGCATACATCAAGCAGCAAACTGCACTGACATATGGAACATTTGCCATATATTCGATTTCTGTATGTCTTAAGACACTGTTCTGAATAAAACTTAAAATGATTTGCCAAAAGAGTGCTTACAGACTTTGGACTTTGCTTTGCTCATCTTAAACCATCTTAAACCTGTCCATCACTTTCTCAACATAGCCTCATTGAGATAAACATAATCGTATTGAGCTTCTGTCTCGATGAATCTTCATTGCAAGAATTTTCTTCGTAGGACTCAAGTCTTTCACGTCAAATTCCTTGTTCAATAAAGCTTTCAAACCACGGATATCATTCATATTCTTTGCAGCAATCAGTATATCATCAACATACAACAACGAAAAAATAATAGAACGATCATCAAGTCTCTTCACATTAACACAAAAATCATACTCACATCTCTTGTAGCCGATCTGAATCATGTAGGAGTCAAACCATTTGTATCATTGTCTTGAAAACTGTTTGAATCCATATAACGATTTATTTAACTTGCAAATCAAATGCTCATGTCCAGGTTGAGTGAACCCCTTAGGTTGCTCCATGTAAATATGCTCCTCCAACATGCAAGAAAGCAGTTTTAACATTCATCTGCTCTAAATGCAAATCCCAAATGACTACTAATGCAAGTACTGCTCTGATTGAAGTATGTCTGACCACAGAAGAAAATATTTCATCATAATTTACCATCATAATCTATCCACTTCTGCTGTGAAAATCCTTTTGCTACTAGTTGAGTCTTGAACTTTTCCCCATCTTTTTCAGATACTGTTGGTTTCCTTTTGTACACCCACTTACACCAAATAGTCTTCTTTCCCTTAGGAAGTTGAACTAGTTCCCATGTGCGATTTTTTTGCCAAGACTCCATTTCCTCAACCATTGCACCCATCCATTTTCTTTTCTCTTGGTTAGTGATAGTTCCTTGAAAAAGTGGCTAGATCATCGCTGCTGATGAAAAGTGCACAAGAGACCAAGTCTTCATAACCTAATATGCTAGGAAACCTTATATTGGTGCGTCTCTGTCTGTCTCTGGCTAGATTATAATTCTACAGATCATCTAGAATGAAATCACCAGGTATTAGATATGAACCTTCAACTCTCTCAGTTGTTTCTGAATGTTGTTCTAAATCCATCTGCACTGTGTCTGAATTAGAATTATTCTCTTGCACCTTGTCTTGTTTTTGCTGTAACATTGACTGTTCATCAAAAACTACATCTCTACTGATCACCATCTTCTTCGCAATCGGATCCCAAAACTTGTATCCTTACCTTTCTTGTAGCCCAGAAAGATGCACTTCTTGGATTTTGCGTCAAGTTTTGATCTTTCATCTCCAGGTACATGCACATAAGTCAGGTACATGCACATCCGTAAATGATCGAAATTAACTGGATTATCTGTCCATACCTTTTCTGTGACCTGATTATCTGTCCATGCCTTTTCTGTGACCTTGCCACCCAACGATGCCCAAGGTGATCTTTTGATGAGATAACATGCCATATTCACAGTCTCTGCCCAGAAACTCTTAGGAAGCCCTGCATTCAGTCTCAAACATCTTGCCCTTTCAATTAAGGATCTGTCATTATTTCTGTCACACCATTCTGCACCATTCTGCTGTGGTGTCTTGCGTACTGAAAAATACATCTGAATCCCATGCTATCTGAATCCCATGCTCCTCTCCCATGCTCCTCACAGAACTTCTGAAACTGCGAATCTGTGTACTCTATGCCATTATCAGACATGAAATAGTTGATTTTTCTGTCAATTTGATTCTCCACCTCAGCTTTCCATAGCTTGAATTTAGAGAAGACTTAAGATTTCTGCTTCAAGAAATACACCCAAACTTTCCCAGAGAAATCATCAATAAAGGTAACAAAATACTGAAATCCTCCCAACGATGATTCTCTGGTTGGACCCCATAAGAATCCTTTCAGTTTTATGTTTTTCAGTCATAAATCATAAAATTGACTCTAGTCTGTTTTTCAAGAACACGGAACTTACGAAGATCGAGCTTGCAGCTTCTAGCACCACGTAATAGGTTTATTCTATGCAATTCCACCATCCCACGTTCACTGAGACGACCCAGACGCATATGTCATAGCTTTGTATTATCATCATTTGACTCCACAGAATGAACTCTACCTGCAACTGTCTCTCCAACAGTTTGTAGATATTACCTGCAGTTAACTTTCCTTTCATCACAGTCAGTGCACCCTTAACTATTCTGATGGTTTCCTTATCCTCATCTGCCTTAGGAATGAAACCATTTCTCTATAAAATGTCGAAGGAAATCAAATTCTTCTTCAGATCTGGAATATGCCTGACACCACATAATGTTCTAACTGTGCCATCATAAATCTTAATTCTGATTTCTCAAATACTAATAGTATTGCAACATCTATCATCTCTTAGATAAACTGAGCCAGAATTAGTTGACCCGTATGAATTAAACCACTCTCTGTTAGGTGTTATGTGATAAGAGCATCCTGAATCAAAAATCCATGCATCCGTGAACTGAGTTGAGGAAACTGAAAGCATATCGCGATCACTGCAATCTGAATTGTCACTCTGCACCACATTTACAGACTTCAATGCATCATGATGCATCATCGTTCCCCTCAGTCTACTTCTTCAGCTTTGGACAATCTCTTTTTATATGACCCGACTCCTTGCAATTGTAGCAATGAATTGTCTTTTTTGTCTTTCGACTTGAATCTAAAATTTCTCCTTCTATAACCCTCATTTTATTTCTTCCTTCCACAAACCTGCTAACCCTTCACATATAAACTGTCACCATGAGAGCTTTCCCCTGCATCCTGCGTCCGCTGGTTGTGAGCCAACAATGCTGCAGTGATCTCATCAATTTTGATAGTTTCTTTCATATATGTAAGAATAATCACCATATGTTCATAGGAAGAATGCAATGAACACAACAAATTCATTGCTCGATCTTCATCCTCAATATTCTCGTCAAGTCGTGACAGGTCTGTGATTATTTGATTGAAGATATTAATATGGTGCGTCAGATCAGAACCTTCTTGCATTTTCAGCCCATACAATTTTTGTTTCAGATACAATTTTTTCGTTAGAGATTTAGCCATAAACTGAGTTTTCAATTTCTTTCATATCTCCCCTGGAGATTTTAAATTCATCACGTGATACATAACTTCATCTGCCAGACATATGTGTATAGTTTTTGCTGCTCGTTATTGCAATTCTTCCCAATCTTCATCCTGCATGACATCTGGTTTTGCTGCCAGCAAAGCTTTTAAGATTCTCTGTTGAACCAACAAATCTTTTATTCTTGTTTGTCACAATCCGAAGTTATCAGTTCCATCAAACTTCACCACCTTGAATTTTGGACCAGAAGTTGTCATATGAAATTGATCCAGCAACAAATTATTCTGCAAATTCCTCTGCAAATCTTTGCTCAGAATTTTTCAAAAAAAAAGGAAAGATTGAAAAATTCTTTTAATTAAGTTGCCTTAATTAAGTTTTCCAGAAAAACAACAGATTTTTTTTTAAAGAAAAGATTAAAATATTTCCTTAATTAAACTTCTTTAATTAAGTCCCCATTAATTAAAATATTTTTTTTAATTAATTGAATTTCAAAAACTTTACTTTTTCTCGCAAAGGAATAAAATCAGAACTTTCAATTTCCTTCTTCGTTGCCTCCAACAAAGAAAATCTTAATTAAGTTTCCTTTAGAGATTCTCTGTCTTTCTTCACGCAGCTCCAGCAAAGGAAAGATTTACTTTTCAAATTTCACCTCCGCCTTCAGCAAAAGAAATAAAGATTCCTTCTATTTCCTCTCCGCCTCCAACAAAGGAAATAATTTCTTCTCCAAAAGATATCCCAAAGGAATATTCTTCCAATCTTTCTTGGTTTGTCCGCCCAGCAGCTTCCGAAGTGCGAATCGAGCCTCCCGATTACACCGACTTCTCCCGCGAACCGAGCCTCTTCCGCCCAGTGCCTCCGCCTTCGAACACCAACCATCCGAAGCTGCGTGCAGAACCAATCGCGGAAGTTCCGTAAAATCGCACCTTCCTGAAGAAGCAATGCACTGAATTCGAAGCCCCCGATCCGGAACCTATCGCCAAAAACTCCTCACGCTGCCGCGAATAGTATCGCGAATTTCCGAGATTCGCGAATTCCGCACCTTGCTCTTCCTTCGCCGTCGAATCTTCTTCCCGCGCCGATCTCTTCTGCCATAGAGCTTGTCTCTGATACCACTTGTTGAGAAATTAGGACGAAGAAAAACAAGAATCGACACAAATCCAGAAGAACACACAAAAATTTAACTAGGTTCGACCAAGATGCCTACGTCCTCGGGAGCAGAGCGGCGGGTTCCTTTCAATATTTTAAAAAGAGATTACAGAAGTCAGAGATACCTCCTGAGGTTACAACATTACCCCCATACCGTACCGCGGGGTGTTGCCCCCGCACCCCCAACCCATATAACGTAACTTTCCGATTTGGACAGATTCTTCCACTCCGCTTCTTTCCAGCGTCTGTCCCTATATAATATATGATCCATACCGTAACAGTTAGGATATTATACGTGTACATTTAGTCATGAGAGGATTTGGTGGTCCTACCATACAACAAACAATATTAACCGTATACCAACATAACGGATTCTGATATTACCCCCTTCAAGCTGAGGGGTCTCGTTAGTGAGCTGAAGCTTGGAGCAGAGGGCTTTGAATCATTTGCTTAAGAAGTAATTTAGGGTCCGTTTGGAACCGAATTTTTCGGGCGGCGCGACTTGAGGCCGCGACTTTTTTTTATTTTATTTTTCCGTTTGAAAGAAGCGGTGGCAGGGTGGAGAAGTTGAATTCGGCAGAAAGCGGGCCGCGGGTTCGACTCTGCAGCTCGCGTCCTCGAGCGAATATTATCAGCTTTACTCTTCAATGCTTCTGTCCTAGCCTCTCCCGATAAGATTCGCGGCTCCATCGACTCTTTTGCCTCCTGCCCGAGTGTCTCGCATCTCGTGTCGATCTCTCAATGGTAGAGTGCTTCATTCTCCCCTTTCTTGCGTCGATCACTCACGTCGATCTCGCCGGCTTCCCCAAGGTGATTCGAGTGCTTCTTTTTCCCCATTTTCACTATTTCCAGCAATTCTCCTCTTCCCTTTTCCCTGTTTCGATCACTTCTCCTCTGCCCTAGTTGATTCGATTGCTTCGCCGGTTTGCTGGTTTGTTTTTTTTTTTTTTGAGGGCAACTCATCTAATGCTTCAGGATAGTAGAAACTTAACAAGCATTTGTTCTTTTGAATATAATTTAATTCACATGATGTAAATTTTATTTGTTAATTTCATTTGAATCTTTTTTCACCCACAGTGAGCAAATTTAAATTTGATTGTCTGATTTTTCAGAATGCATTGCTCCTTGGAGTATTTGTGGAATTTATTGAAAAAGCTTAAATGAGTTGAGAATTGCAGGCACCTGCTTCTCTAGATTCTCTTCTTACTGGTTCTATCATGGAGAAGGATACATTGGTGATGGTGAGATTGTGGTTTGATAGGCAAGATAATCATTTTTGTTTAAATAGGGGATTTAAGGTAACAAGGCACTTCTGTCAGAGGTGGATGGATGAATGGCGGCAAACTAGTTTAAACATTGACGCTATAACAGGACAGCTTAAATTCCAAAGCGCCTCTAACTCCGAAGCCTGAAGGACAGCTGATTTTTAAAATATGTTTTCATGCATTTTTAATGGGGAATTGGTATGTGCATATTTGAATGTTCATGTCCAGTGAGTTTAGGCGTTGGTGGCAAAGCAATCAATGGACCATGGAGTCTTTCCATCATTTGCAGTAGTGGTGCAAATTTTATTTTGTAAAACATAGTTTCCACGCATACAGTGATTTTTAGAAAGGAACGTAAAATTTGTTTTACCTGATGATTGTTGTAGTTCATAATAGGTGGCTAAATCTGTGTGTGTTATTTTGCTAGTATGAAACATGTGTGTTATACCACTTTATACATTGGTTGTTAGCCGGTAATATGTTATGGTTATCTACAGGATTTTTAAAATGCTCTATGCATTTTGTTTTGTGTGAGTGCTATATTACCTTGTCTTATGAAAACATAATGATTTGTTCAGCATTGTGATTGCTTTTGTGTTATGAATGAGATTTGGTGTGATTTTCAATTGATTCCAATAGATTACTCTTATTTCAAATTTTTGCTGTTACTACTTCAAATTTTATATTTATTCGCAACATTTCTCTCTAATTTTAGTGTCTTGTCTAATGTCATAATTTAAGGAGGTTTTATACACAGATTTAAGAAGTTTTTAAATATGTAAATATAGAATAGTGTGGTAGGCATGTAAATTTCCCTTTTCTGTTAATATAAGCCGTGTATATTTGTAAGAACTATTTAAGTTTTGTTCTAATAAAAGGGGGTTAAAAACTTGACAACGACAAGATCAGTAAGTATTTTGAATCCTAGCTAGTGAAAAATTATATTTTGGTATTGAGTCAACTATGAAATAATATAGCCTACTTTTTGAAGTGATCTTTTGCTTTGTTGAATTTCATTTGATATGTAGTTAAACAAGTTTGACTTGATTTGTGCACCATCATGCGTTCATGATATTGGAAGTAATCAAACTCATGATTATGGAAGCAAATTTTATTAATCAAATGAGTTATCTCCTGTTTGTTTATCATTGTTGCACCATCCAAGCAGTAATCTCCTATTTTATACATGACTGACAAACTAACAAATTGTTTATCAATGAAATGAGGAACATAGCCTGCTTTACTGATCTTTCTATACAATAACTCTTTGGAGCAGGTACGAAGAGAGAGGAGTAGTGAAAGGATGAAGTTTCTTCAAGATCTTGTTCCAGGCTGCAACAAAGTAAGCATTATTTCTAATGCTACAACTCTTATGTTTGCTTCGTAATGACTGTTTAGCCGCATCTTTTTAAATATTTATAGACGTTCTTTTTAAGATCGTAGGAAATTCCGCATTTTTCTTGATGAGAGTAATCTACTACGTACAGTCACCGTGACGACAAGTCGAGGTAATATGATCTCATGAAGCATTATAGTTTTAAGTTTCCTTGTAAATTTGAATGTGATTACCAGTTTTTGTCGATGAAGCTTGCAGTTGTGAATCCAATGTTGGACTTCAACATAGAAGTCTCTAAAGATGTAAGATATAAATTGCACTGATCAGAATTTAAGGTACATAAAATAAAAGTAAAAGCAGTCCAAGTCACTTTGATCAGTGCTTTTCAAACATGACTCTTAGAATTTATTTTGTTGAAGGATATTAGTCATCCATTGGCACCATTAAGCTCAACTTTTGCATATTAATTTTGATCATAAATAGGTGACTCACTTGGTCTCATTTCAAAATATTTAAAGGGTTACTTTTTGACCCTTTTTAACATCATTTTGCATACAATTCTTTGTATCCTATTCCTTTTATTTCTGCTGGGAGTTGCAGGCTATACATTTCACAGAATCAACCTTTTAATGCGTTTCATTCTTTTTTCTGATCCAGAAAGAGGACTCTTTCTCTCGAGCTGAATTAGACTCAATTGCTGAAAAACTTGATCATGATGATCCTGACAAAGGAAGATGGACTCCACTTTCCGTAATTTTTAAAACTCACCACAACGAATTAACAACGCTCGAGACACGAAACACAAAAGCTGGTTTGGCATGATCATCGCAATAGTTCGTCTTCAATCAACCTTTCTTCTGCAACTTTACTCGGCATTGTCCTTAACATTCTTGTGAAGCGATTCGCCGGACTTTGGCGAGGCCGGCATTGGGTTTCGATACGGCGCATCGATGGAATCTGGTATAACTTGGACAGCGATCTTTCTTCGCCCAAGCCATTTCGAAATTTGGATGAGCTGACAGGATTCCTGGACCAAGTCATGGTCAGGATGGCGAGTTCTGGTTGTCTTTCATGACAAACTTTGAAAACCGTCTCGTGGTTTTTGAATTTGCACTTTTAACTGATGCAATTTTGGGTAAGCGTACATGCCTGAAAGAGGTTGTAATTCCTAGTTGTTTAGTTTTTCTTGGAGAAATATTTTGCTTCTGGGGTTTCTAATGCAAATTTGTGTTGGCTTGAGGTTTGTTAGGCAAATAATCAAAGCAAAAATTTGCATAGTTTTATGGTGCTGTTTTTGATTGTATATTTCTTCAAAACCTTGTCGGTGCTTAGTTATAGGCATGTGATGCAAAGCTGATGATATATTGACTTCAAGGTTTGATGTAAACTCCCTTTAATGTATATGGTACATTGCATTTGTTGTTTAGTGTGAAAGTATCATAATCTTAAGTTTAGGATAAGTTCTACATCTATATTTTGAACAAGTTATTTATGAGAAATATTATTTCATGATATGAGTAAATTGTAGAGAAATTTAGTATATTTAAAGAAACTTAGGAAGTTTCTTATCTTTATATTTAAAGTAAAGAATAGTCTTTTTTTTCATACTTTTAAAAAATTAATTTAAATAATAAGAAGTTATTACAAATTTAATGGGTTATCTATAAATTTTCTAATTACTATTGTCATTGTTTACAAATTATAAATCATAAAATAATAAGTTCAAAATTTTTTTCAAGGTACAAAATAATTTGAAAAGATGAATAATGCATCACTTTTTGAAATATTATTCTTTTACAATATTTTAGAAAAATTATATAGTTTTAAGTATGTTTGATAAGAGGTCAATATTAAAGTTTGTGTTAGATATGTAAATACATATGAATGTGTGGCATGTGTGTAAATGTTCCAAACAAAAATATTTAGCACTTTCGGTGCTCACATTTAAGCAAGTGATTTATGTATCTAAATTTTTGTTCTATTTTGAAATGAATTTCTGCTTCTGAAGTATTAAATATATGGTTATCACAGTTTTATTTAAAACAACTTTAGTAAACGGGGGCAAAATGATTATTTTTCCAGAAACAGTTGCCCCACGATTGTCACATAGCTGCAACAAACATACAACCAGCTTCCCCGCAGCAGTTTTCTGGGGCAGCGCAGCTATAGCGGAAAAGCTGAGAAGTTGCAACTGCCCCAAATAGACCCTTAGTGAAGATATTTGTCAGTTGATCCTGGGTATGAATGTAATGAAGTTGAAGAGTACTGGATTGAATTTGTTCACGAATAAAGTGGTAATTACTTTCTATATGCTTCACGTGGGCATGAAAACCGGGATGATGATGATGACCATATTTGAAATATTGTCACAAAAGAGATGTTGGTTGTTCCTGCAGAATACTAAGTTCAACAAGTAAACGACGAAGCCAAATAAAGTCAGCGGTTGCAGCTGCCATGTCCCGGATTCGGCTTCGGTGGAAGAAAAAGTAACCGTGGTTTGTTTCTTGACAGTTCATGAAATTGGCGTATCACCCAAGAAGGTGCAAAAACCCGTGACTGATTTTCGGACTAATGAATCTCCAGCCCAATCCACATCAGAATAAGTTCAAAGGGTGAGGGGAGCACACAAAATTTTGAGAGCCAATCCAATGGAGCCTTTTAAGTAGCGTAACAAACGTTTGAGGAGTTGGTAGTGATAAATCTATGGAGCATGCATATGTTGGTAAAGATAGTTGACAGCAAATGCTATATCTGCTCTCGTGATTGTAAGATATTGAAGTGCGCCAATGATTTTTCTGAATTCAGTCTTATTTGCATAGGGTTCAGTACGAGCATAATTTTCATGCCTCTTTGCGGGGAAAAAATATTACCTCAGGAGTACTGATGCATCAGTACTCCAATGAGGGGGTGCCACGTAGGCAATGGTCCCACCGTGGTGCCTACGTGGCACCCCCTCATTGGAGTACTGATGCATCAGTACTCATGAGGTAATATTTTTTCCTTTACGGGAAGTGGGTTTGCAACCAGTTTGCAATTATGTCCTGTAGAATGCGAAAAAATATTACCTCAGGAGTACTGATGCATCAGTACTCCAATGAGGGGGTGCCACGTAGGCAGCAATGGTCCCACCGTGGTGCCTACGTGGCACCCCCTCATTGGAGTACTGATGCATCAGTACTATTGAGGTAATATTTTTTCGTAGAATGCGGTTTTGGTATTAGTGCTGAGACAAATACATAAAGTCTTGTGTGCGATTGATGTGGATGCCCAAAAACTTTGAAACTTCACCCAAGCACTTAATTTGGAACAGAGATTGGAGCTATTGGATGAGGCATTCGATATCTTTAGTGTTGTCCCATGTGATAACCATATCATCTACATAGATTAGTAAAAAAGATCTTGTGTGTGGTTGTCGAGGAGAGCAGCAACGATGGGTATGATTTGCTGATATAAAATCCCCATTGGATGAAAAATATATAGATGTTCGCAAACCATTGACGCGGCGATTGTAAAGACCATAAAGTGCTTTCTTTAGTGAACACACATGGTTGAGAAAATGTGGATCTTTGAAACTTAATGGTTGTTCTATATAAATCGTGTCTTCAAGATTTCCAAGTAAGAAGATATTAACAAAGTTGAATTCGAGTAATTACTAGTGTTTGTGAAAATCAAAGGTAAAACAAGTGCGGAGAGTAGTTGACACCGAATTCAAGGTTTATTTTGTGATGGATGGATATAAGAACAAGTTATTCCATGATGACCTGAATAAAATAAGTCTACATGGAGCAAGCTTCTTATATTTCAAGTATTTTACCACCAAAGGTGTATGACAACCAATGTGTTACCTTGGACTGGAATTTGCTCAAATAAAAAATTTTTTTTTTCCCAAAAATTTATGGGGGGCATTGGAGCATTATGTAAGCAAATATTTGAGCAACATGTTTGACCGTTCTTATTTTCTATGTCTCTCTCTTTTTTGGCCATTGTTGCTACGAGCAATGTTTCTGTATGCAAAATTTTGATTACATTTTTTTCTTCAATTTGGACTTGGTTGATCAAGTTAGTAAGATTGTTTAGTTGGGTTATGTAGGTTTAAAAACATCGTTTACATTTTAAATCTTAAACCTTTAAAGATAATAGCCAATGTATAACTTGTTTAAATATTTAAACAATGATCTAATATGTTTGTAAAGATTGTTAAGATTTGATTGAGGTTGGAGCATAATTGGAGGAAGATTTGAGTTTGATTCTAATATTAGTTAAACACTCTTTAAATATAAATTTAGCATGATTTAAGTTTAGGGCTTGTTACATGAGCCGACTAGAATGCCATTTAAGCTCTTGAGCCAGATCGATCCGGCTCGAAAAACTAGCTTGAAATCCCGCCTGAGCCGGCTCTAAAACTTCATTCGAACAAAATTATTCATTGATATGAAAAACAAAAAGTAAAATAGTCAAAAATAGGAATAGAATATATATTTTTTTATTGAATAAATTATCCAAATACAAATTTACAGATTACAATAAAGCAAAATAAATATTGTTTGTTCCTTATAATCAGAACTCATAAATTGCAAATTACATAGTTAAAATTTATAAATTACAATTGACAATTTAAAATATCAAATATAAGAAATTACATATAAATGCAAAAAAAAAAAAAAAAATCTTAAATTTTGATTCTTGATAATTTTTACAAGTTCTCCGATCTGCGCCAAGAAATTGATTGTCAATATAAAATATTTTATGTTTTAATTTAGACATTTTATCAATTACTTTTACCGTCATGAATCTTCTAGCACATCACAAGTATTTTGCCGTTAAAAGAGATTATTTTAGTTTTGAGTGAATTTTTAAGTGTATTTCTTGATAAATAAAAATGTCAAATATATTTCTCTAATTTTAGGTATTATGAGCCATATTTCAGATATTTTTGTATTCTCATTACTTTGCCTTTTATATGGGTAGGGGGGTAAACGAGCCGATTACAAGCAAGTCGGGGCTTAGCTCGTTAAAAAATACCATTGTTCATTTTTTCAGTTTGTTTATATTTCAAACACAAAAAATTTGTTTGTATTTAACTCGTTTGTTTAGCGAGCCGAATACAAGCATTTCGCGAACAAAATACCGCTTTGACTATCCTAATAATGCAGATGTTATGGTTGTAATTGAGCCAAGCTTGAGTGAGTCCAAACTCGGCTCGTTAAAAAAATATCGTTGTTCTTTTTTGGCTCATTCATTTATAGAGCACAAAAAGATTTATTCATGTTTGACTAGTTTACTTATTGAACTGAATATCAATTATCACGAATAATGAGCCATTTTGACAATCCTAGTCATGAAGATAAGAGCAGGGCGATATTATTTTATTATTTATATTAAATATTCATTTAAATAAAATTTAATGTATTTTTATTCTATTTTAACTAATAATTTTGACTGAATATATATCTTCGCATATATATAATATATATATATATATAATTTAATTTCAAATCTTTGATTATGTTCGGCAACAGTTCTCATGGCCTCTAAAGACTGGATCTCCTAAAGACTATCCTCTAAGAAGGCGCTGATCACGTTCGTCTAGGTGGAGGTGAACAAGCCGAAGAGAAAATGGTGGTACGATGCTCCGGCTTTTCTCTTCTTCTACCCTTCTTCCCCGCCTCTTACTCCTCCTGCCGGCGCAACAAGCTTCCGCAGCATCTATTCCCCTCGTCATTCATGTCGATTCCGCTCCCCAACAGCCCAATTCGCTCCTCCCCGCTTCCCCCTATACCTTCGTCAAGCTCCTTTCCGGAGCCGTCAACTCTTGCTCTATCTATACAGGGGAGCAGTATCATTCCGCCATCATCAAGCTCGGTTTTTTATCCAACGTGTTCGTCACCACTGTTCTCCTTGATCTGTACTGTAAAGGCGGCAATTTTACCATCGCACAGCAACTTTTCGACGAAATGCCTCACCAAAATGTTGTTACCTGGAACACTTTGATTCACGGGCTTTCGCTTAGTGACCGTCCCAATGATGCAATAGAGGTTTTCTACGAGATGATGGTTGAAGGAATTTCACCAACTTCTTTTACCTTCTCCACTGTTCTCGCCACCTTCTCTCATTTGAGAGACCTCACTGCTGGGATCCTAATGCATTGTATTGGTCTTAGGCATGGATTTCTCTCCAATGTGGTTGTCGGAACAGCTCTAGTCAATATGTACTGTAAATGTTCCGATTTGACTGCTGCGAAGAAAGCGTTTGATGAAATGCCTCAGCCAAATGTGGTTACTTGGACATCTCTGGTTACTGGCTATGCTCACCATCAGAGACCAATTGATGCCATGCTGCTGGTTGTAGAAATGAGGCAACTTGGCTTTTTGATGAACAAAATGACTTACAATAGTTTACTAAGCTCATTTTGGCGGTTCAGTGATTTGGATCATGGAAGGCAAGTGCACTCTATCGTGATTAAAGAAGGCCTAGATTGTGATCCATACATCACTGTTTCACTAGTGACCATGTACTCGAAATGTGGAAGCTCGGTGGATTTCATGAATGTATGTTTGAGTGTTTCAGATTGGGATCAGGTCTCATTCAACTCCATAATCACGGGATTTTCTCACCTGGCAGATGGCTGGGAGGTTCTTGCAAGGTTTGTAGAGATGAGAAAGGCAGGCTTGGATACCGATATCTTCACTTTTATGAGCATTCTGAGAGCTGTTTCCATTGTCTCTGCTTTTAGAGAAGGCAGGCAAGCTCATGCTCTTATACTGAAGTGCAGCCATGATTCCAACCTAAGCATTCAGAATGGATTGGTCACAATGTATGCTAAGTGTGGAGATATCAATGATTCAAAGGAAATATTTTTCTCAATGGATAGTCCTGATTTGATTTCATGGAATTCGCTTCTATCAGGGTGCGCCGAGCACGGTTATGGTGAAGAGGCCATAGAAATGTTTGAGGAAATGAGAAGGATTGGAGTTAAACCAGATGGGACAACTTACTTATCAGTTCTTTCAGCCTGCAGTCATGTTGGGTTAGTGAAGAAAGGAATGGAGTTCTTCCATCTGATGCTGGAAGCAGACTCCATGATTGTTGCAGGCATGGAGCATTATGCATGTGTGGTGGATCTTCTTGGTAGAGCTGGATTTCTTAATGAAGCTTACGTTTTTGTTACCAGAATGCAGATAAATCCTGGCGTTTCAGTGTACCGAGCGTTGCTTAGCGCATGCCAAGTTCATGGGAATGTTGAGATGGCTAAATATGCAGCTAAATGTTTATTGGAGCTATGTCCCAATGATTCTGGTGCTCATGTTCTGTTGTCAAATGTGTTTGCGGCTGATGAAAGTTGGCATAATGCGGCCGGAATTCGTGAGGTAATGGAGGGGAAGAGTGTGAGAAAAAGACCAGCATGGAGTTGGATAGAAGAGGGTAATGTGGCAGTTCAACCAAGTGTGAAGCTTGTAGCTGACGTTTTGTAATGAGATACTGAGCTGTTGATTTGTGATTTGGTTTGTAAGTGTTGTTCGTGATTTATGTTGTTTTTTTTATGGGTATTTACATGCATACCACACAATTCTTATGTATTTACATATCTAACACCTGAACATTCATATTTACATGCATAGCATTCAAATCTTTAACATCACATAAAAAATACCCCCATTACTCTTTTTGAATGTGATGCACTATTTTTTATACATAAGTTTATGACACCAAGGTGTGATAAGTGTAAATATTAAAAATTTGAATGTTACATATGTAATTTTTCTTTTTTAATTTATTCTTTAGTTAAAAATATTTTCTTGTGAAGTTGGTAATTATGTGAGCCGTGGGCTGTAATCGTATCTGTTTTGAAATTGAAAAATAATGAGTTTATTTTGTCACCTCATTTGACACCATTTTATTAGTGTTGGGAGTAAGGTTCAGAAAATCGGACTTGACATTGAACCGGTGGAAAAAGAGTTTTAAGGTTTAATGGATGAATCGGATGTTGAATCGGGTGACATCATAAATATAAAAATGATTAAATATAACTTAAATGACATAAAAATTAGAAGAAATTCAGTATAAAAGGTAAAAAAGAAGGAAACATAATAAAAAGAATATTTCACCAAAGGTAAGGCAGAAAATGAAGCTAAAAATGACTAGAGCAAGTTACAATCTTCATGACATCGAAAATTCAAGCCATTCTTTATGAAATTCAATAAAAATGTAAAAAATTACATTGTAATATGTTGATTGGTTTGTTCGCCGGTTCCTTCCGGTTCTTTTCGGTTTGAAGCATGGCTGGTTTTCAGCCCAACCAAAATTGGATCACCGGCCGGTTCATGGTCTAATCGGTCGAATTGGTCAGCTCCATCCCGTTTTTAAAGCATTGGTTGGGATCCGGTTTTTAAAGCATTGGTTGGGAGTGTAAATTACAGAGGATTATGTTGATGTCCTAAAACTGAAATCTTAGAGTGAGTTAACCATTACTATATAATTTTTGTATAAACATAATTTTAATTATACTGCAAAATATATTGAAGAGCAAATACATGTCTTAAGATCAGTTCGAAATTTATTTCCACTAAATCAAAAAAATTACAAAACAAAGAAGAAAAAAGATACAATACAAGATCATTGTTTTCCATTGAAATAAAAAGGTGACCTTACAGTTGGTGGACTATGCTGCTTCTTCATTTATATTCAGGCAACATAAATATTATCGTTATTCATGTCAATAATAAAAGAGTATTAATATCTCTAAATAAAAATAATTTAATTTGCTTCTATCAGCTTGACGTCTTTGACTGCCCCTGTAGACAAATCCATCACTTTGTAATTGCAAAAGCGTTGAACAAAATCTTGATCTTCAATCATCTCTGTGCATTGTGATCCTCAACTATCTTTGAACAAATGTCAATTTTTGCCTGCAGTATTTCTGAAGATTTTCAAATATGACATCATTTATATATATATATATGAATTTTGATTGAAATTTACCTTGCAATCCTCAGAAATCAAGGAGTCCAACAGTGCGAAGGAAACACACAATCCCGTTGGAGCAATTTCCTTGACAGCATATTTCAACACAGACACTGCCACCACACTCGGATTGTGCTCTAGAAACTTGGCATCTGTTTTTTGTTTTTATGTTCTATATATATCAAACTATCAAAGAATTCCATGATTAAAATATATAATTCTTACCGTAAAGAGCATGCATCAAGAGATCAGTGATACGCGCCATCAATGCAGAACTAATACCACCAGCAAGAAGCTCTAAATATGAATATGAAGTCACACAATTGAGCTTCCAATCCAACACCTTAAGAACCAGAAATTCCATCTGTTTTATTGTACCCGAATCGAACTTTCTATCTGGCTTCATTAATTCCTGCT